CGACGATTACAGAAAACAAAGGAAGCATAGGATTTGAAAATGATAAAGACATTTTTTGTAGTGAACTTCATGGGCCATTGCTTGGTAAAAAAGAATATTTTTTCATCATTTCATATTTCAAATATTGGGTCTACAAAGTCAATCATTTTGGAAAAATTTGAATCTGTCGAAATAAAATGTTCTCTACCTACAGTCAGTAGAGATTCTTCGGAATTTCTGTATGATATAAATCGATGAAGACGTCCATTAGTAAGTCAGATATGTTTCGAAAGTTTCACGATAACTCAACGAATTACACATACTAAGACATACGATTGAACATGGAGCCATGATTGGGTAGGTTAATGTTTGATTTATAAAGTTATTTTATCAGTAGCTCTTCTGGAACCATTGTGAGAGGTAAAAGGTTAAGCCCCCCCCCCCCCCCACTCAAAAAAAGTCAATTTTTGTCAGAATTTTCGAAATTGAGATAACTGCATGGGAAGATAGCCCGTCTTCAGATCTTTCCGATATAATATGATTTTTTATCGAACGCCCCTTTTTTGGCTGAAAATTTTGATGATTTCTGTAGTCGGCTGCGTGAAAAATATGGTTTTTCCTGGAAAAAACGGATTTTGAGGTTTTTGAATGGAAAATAAGTATTTTGATGGAAACTAGAGACGTTTCAACAAGTTTTATTAATTGTTATAGAAAAACCAAAATTCATAAAATAAAAAATGAGAAATAGACTAACTGATCGAAAAGAAAAAAAGCTTTATTTAAAAAAAACTTTGATCTGACAAAGTTCACATAAAAAATTGTTTCATAAACTGTTACTTATTCTTCTTCTGTCTTTTGGATTATAATAACCATATTCGTTATCACTAGTTCCATCATTTCTTTCAATATCTTCATTTGTTTTCGTATCAAGACTAAGAATTGTTTTATCATCACTATCCGTTGATGAATCATCACTACTGGATGTCGAATCACGATCATCTGTGATACATTCATCACTATCAGTTGTTGTATCATTATCTTCAGATGTTGGTTGATTATCAGAGTTTGTTTCATTATAATCATCATCCGTTTGTTTATCACTATTGATTGTTTTATCATTATCATCACCGGGTGCATTATTATTATTTGTTTGATCATTATCAACATTTTTCTGTACACTACGATCAGCTTCTTTTCTTGTTTTTCTGTTATTTGTTTTTGATTCGGAGTGGAGACGACTGTTGTCAAAATGAATCATTGCTTGATTGGTATAATGACCACGATAACCACAGATGTTGTTGAATAGATCTCCTGTGCAAAAGTAAAACAAATTTTTATTTTATATATGTAAATATTTCAATTATAATTTAAAAAAACTTCTGAAAATATTCGTATCGGCTTACCTAATGTAAAATATCCATCATTAAATATTATTATTACAAGATGGAATGCAGTTTCAAATGTTGTTCCAGATGTTGTTTTGTGTTTTGGTGACATAAGCCAGACAAGCGAATGAAAACCTTCGTTTTGATTCTGACTTGATGCATCAACTACACGCGCAACACTTTCCCGAAAACAGAGGTTTTCAAAAACAGGCTTGATCGCATCAAGGACAGGATGAGGTAAAGCATGTGGTGCATGATCATATGGTGTTCCATTACGAACAGCTTTTAAATAACCACACCAATCGATACTGCAAGAATCATGACGAGGATCCTCATTGGTCGAATATTTATGCCAAAATATAGCCCAAGTTCGTTTTAATAACAAATCCAGATCGTGTTTGCATTTTCGGACGGTAGAAGCAAATGCCATTTGCAATCGGATGATATTTTGACCTAAAACAAAACCATTCAGATTTCCGGTTTGTTTCGTTTGCAAATGTTTGCCTGTCCTAAAAAGACTCACTGGAAAGGCGATTTTCACCACCAATAGTTTTACCATCAGATAATTTTTCTCGTCCATATTTACGTTTCTTTTGTTTCCAGTTGACGTTTCATTCTTTTGCTAAAATGATTCAAGTCTTCAATTCTCTTGATCACTTTTCCTAAAAAAAAGAAGACTGTTGATAGTGTTTCAGTATAAAACGCAATATTTTTTTTGAAATAAAATAGATTATATTATACCTGGATATGGTTTTGCATTTGAAAGGCTAGTAAATGTTTTTGAATCACCATCACCAACGTAACTTGTGTAGTAAATTCCATATTTAGAAACTGATCGCTTGAACATGTTAAGAACAGTATGAGCTTCTATTGTACCCGAACTTTTGTTGTAGTTTTTTTCACATTGATGTGATCTAATAACATCATTATATTTAACTGGATTAGATTTCTTAATAGCAAGTGCACCTGAAAAAAACAGATGTAATCAAGAAAACAACAAAAAGAGAAACTCACCTATACAAACATTACATGTTTTACTACATGTTTCAATATCAAGTACTTTTGGTGTTGTGTTACAAGAAAGAAGAGCTGCTGCACCATGTCTACTTTGAAAACCTCGGGTCTGCCAAAATCCATCTCCACTAACCATTAATTCTCGACCATTTGCAGCAGTCACAGCTTCATTAACAGCTCTTGTCATAGATCGGTTTGAAAATGATTTTATTGAAAGTAATAAATTTTTATCCCATTTGGAATAGATTTGATCTTGAATTGGACTTGGCAAATTCATAGCACCCATTAATTTTGCTAATCCAGCACATCTAATACCATACAAATGGCCACCAATTTGTGATCGAATATTAATATCTCGACGATCTGATGCAACAACCTTCGGACTTGTTCCTGAAAAAATTAGAAAGAAATGTTGCACGTATTAATAATATGCATACAGTTTCGATAGTCTAAAGTAGTTACTTACCAATAGTGATGGTATTGTTACATGATGAACATTGAAAAGATAAAATCACAAATAAACCTTCACGTTTGTTGATGTTCATTTCTCCATTCCAACGATTTTTACAACTTTGACAATTCGTTTTGCACATAAGAGAAAATCACATTTGATTTTGCAAGATTGTGTATCCATTCATAGGTACATTTGAATTTGAATTTTCTGATGTTGATGTTATATCCAATTTTATTCTTTTCGTTATCTTCTGTCGTGATGGTAAAGATGAACGTTTTGAAGATGTTGATAGATTTGACGTTGTTGTTCGTAATGTTGATGTTGTATTCGATTTTAATGATGATGCAGGTGGTGGCGACACATTTTGACGAGCATATCTTGCCAATGCATGTTTGCTATTCCTAGTATAAAAACCTTGTTTATTATAAGAATAAGAAATTTTAGATTAGTTTTTGTTTTTCATTTTTATATAAATCAAGACAATCAGTAGTTTTAGGTGCAGAATAATTCCATTAAATAGGCATATACAAAATAGAAGCTTGATTCGAAGCACTCACCGTCTTGTATAACCTCTCTTCGTCGGCATTACTTTTAAGATCACCACGTTCAAATATAAAATTTTAATACTATGATAAGTAAATAATCTATAACAAATAAAATATTAAAAAGCAACATTTGTCCATGAAAATAAGGTTTCAAACTTGCTTTTAACCCTCTCAATATCTCACGTCATCTTGTAGAAGACATATAGCAAGAAAAAACAAGGTCGCTATTGAAAGAGTTGAAAACACAGTAACAAAACTATACATACGTAGCGAAAACAAATAGAACACGAATTTTTATATATGCTTTGAGTACAGCTAGACCTCAACTCCGATCAAAACAAGAGCGGAGAAGAATGAGAGAAAGAGAAATATGGCGAACCGTATAATTCAGTATCACCGACATGGATTTTCTTCATCTGCCATTTATGGCGTTATTTTTGCGAGTCCTCCTTCTCTCCAGCTCGCTCATTCGCTTACTCTTTCTTCCTATCGTGTCCATTTTTACAAACCATGAGTAATGCTTTTGTCATCTAAACGTCATGAAATATTTATTATGTATATAATTTATACTGAAAATATGATCAAGTCAATATACAATTGATCGTAGTACAATGTTTTCAACCAAGTCCTATATGATTATGTCGTAGAAGATAGAACTATTTGTGTAATGAAACTCAAAAAACCACGAAGAAGAAGTTTACTTTACAAAGATATATGACAGTTGACGGTTATTCTCTTGAAATGTACCGAAAAAAACGTCTAAAAGTACAAAAATCTCAAAAAATTTCAGTTCAAAAAATGTTTTTCGTTTTTTCTCGGATTATGATTTTTTGATCTTCTGACAAGGAATTCTCGGTCCAGGTCCTGTCAATGTATTTAAATCTTTTTTTTGTTTGAAAGAGCACGTCAAGATGCAGGGCACCACAGAGTCCTTTTTTTAATTAAGCTTTGTTTTTTATTATCTATACAGATACTTATGTGACTGGACACCCATTTTTGGCGCCTTTTTTGAGTCATTGGACTTGCGAGCCCTTTTCTCCGCGAAAAAAGTAAGAATTGAAAAAAAAAGGACTCTGTGGTGCCCTGCATCCTGAGATGCTCTTTCAAACAAAAAAAAATTTTAAATATGTTAACAGAGTCTGGGCCGAGAAATCCTTGTCTGAAAATGGACTATTTTTGACCCTTGTTTGGTTCATATCTCTGTCAAACATCAGGATATCGAGCTGAAAATTTTACCACAGCCTCCTCACACCAGTCCCAACATATGCTCCAAATTTCAGCCCTTTTGAACTTACCTGGGCTGATATCGATTTTTGAGTGGGGGGAGGCCTTTAGGGGACCCCCCCTCCTTCCCGACTCAAAATTTTCACATTTTTCATTTTTCATTGTTTGTGATTAGTATATAGATTTAAATGCCCTCTATCCATTGAGTACACTTTGAGAACTGAAAAACCACATCTTATATATAAAAAAAATTCGAAAAAAATCACAAAATATGCTGAAAAAACCAAAAAACACAAATTTCTTTGCGTTTTCCTCAAAATCAGTTTTTTCAGCAAAAAAATGAAGTTTTCCCCCTTTTTCTCCGCCATTTCAAGTCCGATCGGACTGAAAATTGTTTTGGTGAGACTTCAAGTGATTTGAGTTGGACGTTTTTTTTTTTGGATACCTTCTACCAATCAAGTTTGGCAGGCTTCGCAAAATTTTTAGGATCCAAAAAACCTAGAGATTTTGCAAAGTGCTCAGTATTTTGGTTCTCCAGCCTGAAGTATTTGGAATTTTTGAAAAAAAAAAACGCCCATCCAGATTGGGTCCGTCTACCCACAGTAAAAATTTCAGCTGAAACGGATGAAATCTGTGGATTTGCGAGAGGGAAAACTTTTTGCAAGTTTTTGGCCTTGGGGTCTCTGGAAGTCCATGAAGATGACGTCTGGCAAGTTTGTGTCTATGACAACTTTTGCTCTACTACTCGAAGTCTATCTACCCTGCAAGTGTCAGGAATTTTCGTTCGGCCGTTTCTTAGAAACGCCGGAAAGGGGGGGGGGTCCCTTAATGAAAAATAATATTAGAGGAAAATTAGGTTTATTCATTTTGGAATTAATGTCGATAAAATTGAGATATTTTGTTTCACAATGAAAGGTAAATAGAATTTATCTGAAATTATTTCATGAAAAAAAACATGTAGTTTTTTTTTAAGATATGAATTCAAAATTTCGAAGAAAAAATTAAAACCTGTTGGTCAATCAATCTCTAATGCTCAAAGGTATTTTGAACTGTTTTTATATTTATCTTTTATCAATTTTTCGTCAGAATCTAACAACAAAGAGAAATTATCACTTTAGGATATTTGACTAAACGAGGAAATTTATTGGCTCTTATTTCTAAGTGTTTTTTTTTTGCTTTCATCTTCGTTTTTTTTCAATTTAGATAAGTGTCATCGAATTAACAATGATTCATTCAAAATAAAAATGTGTCAATTTTTTCTTTTATCAATTTAACTGTTTTTTTGTATTCACATGAGTAAGTTCAAGATTACAATCATATTTACGTCAAAACTCAAAAATAATGATAATCAATTAAGCAAAAGTATATTCAGATTACATATTATTTTGTTTAAAATTCAATTTAATGTTTAGATCTTCTAATTGATCGATCAAAATTTTATTCGTGTGTCGAGAAAAGGATTTGTCGTTGTAATAATAAACAATTATGATGAAAAAAACATTCTCAAAATTCTTCGGCTTTTTTTGTCAAGTACACGGAACGATAGAAACAAATGACTCACAAGAAATTGTAAAAAATGAAATTTCAATAAAAGAAAATTTTTTATTTAATGTAAGTCTATATTTTAGTACTAAAGAACTGTACCAAAGGCAATCTAATTGATTAGCAGATTTTAATGTAGGAAGAGATTTGTCGAATATGTATTGTATGTTAAAACATCGACTGTGTGTCCCTATTGTAGAGTAGCGATGAACCCGATAGAGAAAAAAATCGTTTCAAATTTCGTTTTCGTTCCTTTTAAATCTTTATGCATAGTGATCCAGCTTTGTATTAGAAATCAATCACATCTACTCGTGAGTAAAGCCCGTCGGGTCCAAAAATTTTGGATCCGATTTCGGGACCAACCCAACAGGCTCTACTCGTGAATGTTGCAGTAGCACTACAATGAATAGTCATTCCTACTCAGAAAAAGATTGGCTAACTAATAAGAACTTATAGCGTTCCTAAATTTTCCAAGCTTCTTCTGTATATTAGAGTCAGATTATTTAATACATTATGTGTGTATTTTATACGACTGTGTAGATAGCAGAGATAAGATTGGGTTCGTGTCTTTATGGAATCGAACCGATCCCATTTTTAATAGTTACTATTGTAGGATTGATCCATAGTCTATGATTTTATTTATTGCTATCTTGACGAATGCATTTTCCGTCATATATATTTGGCATCTGCGTCGATCAAAAGAATCCAAGTTCAATTAAACCAACATTTAATAGGTGGCACGCAATGAGTGATCTTCTTTATTGTTTGTTATTAATAAGAGTTGACTTGTTCTTCGGCTTTTTGTTGTTTTTTTTTTTTTTAAATTTAACATTAAAATATCTAAAACAAAATAAACTTACCTATAATTTCACCACCAGAGAGAAGATCAACTAACTACCAAAAATACATAAACAAAAGTAGCACTTCCATATTTTCGCGTGATTTTTATGTATATAAGTTTTTCCTAGAAGAATAATATTTTATATTTAAAACGTCCTTTTACATGAATATTATCGCGAGACAACAATGACCAGTAAGTGGAAGAAAATGACAAAAACATTGTGAAATTGTTGTGAATAAATCTTTATTTAATCACAAAAAAAACGTTACAATAATTTGAAATGCATAATGCACTAACAAGTTAGTGTATACTCAAGTTTTCAAATATCATGCCTTTGAGAAAAATTAAATTCAAGCAAAACAACCTTTTGATGTCGACTGGCAACTATTGCGAGCTAGGGAAGGAACAAAATGAGCCCATGCATCTATTTTTCATTGAAGTATTCGAACAACTAATAAATAAATATTTAATATATTTTAGGCAATATACATTTACCATCATCGTCAGATTCATAAATTTAGATTATATCAATTATCATTCAATAACTATTAGAATAGTTTAAAATAAACTAATTATTATTGGTTAAATAGATTCGTCAATATCTATTGATATATCGTATGTCTGAAGCAAGTTTTGTTGACACAAATCATCTCTGCGAATATTATACAAATTATCCATTAAATGTTACACTGAGATATAGACTCAATAAACTTGTTGGTTTTACAATTTGTTATAGATATTGAAATTTGTATGACTTTAAAATAAACAAGATAAATAAAATGATTTAAATTATTCTTTTTATTCTTTAGAATGATTCATTTTTAAAATAGATATTAGTAAATTAATAAAACGAAGAATTATTTTTTTCAGTAAAAATAAAATTCTATTCAAATTTAATTTTTAAAAATAAACTTATTTTTTAGATTGTTTTTTTTTAAATGTTTTTTCTCGTTTATTTATATTTGTTATTGTGATTATAAACAGTAAATATGGCTACATCATCTCCATCTACAACTAATGTAACACCACAACAAATTGGTAAAGCATTTGTTGTTCAATATTATCGTCTTCTTCATGAACATCCTGAATCTTTACATCGTTTTTTTTCTGCATCGTCAACATTTATGCATGATGATCTAACAAAAACTGTAACTGGTATAGAAGCTATTGCTAAACGTATTGAAGAATTATCATTAAAACAACGTCATGTTAAAATTCGACAAGTTGATTGTCATTGAACTGTAGGTTCATCAATTGTTATACAAGTTTGTGGAGAAATATCATCAACACCTGTAACTGGTACTCAAACTCAACCAATTATGAAACGTTTTGTTCAAACATTTGTATTAACACGAGCAGATAATTCAAAACAAAAATATTATGTACACAATCACATACTTCGATATCAAGATAGTCCAACAACAATTTTAACAAATGATAATAATACAAGAACGTCGCCAACAATAACGAATAATAATGAAGGTACTAGATTCATTATGGATTATTTCGTAGTTGTTGTTTTTTTTTTGAATAGTTTACAAATCTTGAATCGGAAAACTTGAGAAAATTGTAATAACTTGGAAGCAGAAATTTGGAGATCCGAATCAGTGGTTATGTTACGACCGGAGCTGGAAAAATTCAGCCATTGCCTTTCCAGCTTCAAGTTCTTCCCATTTTCCCGGCTGAAAAGAGCATCTTTCCAGCGAGAACCTACCAGAATATTATATATGGGGGCGACCAACTTGACTGGTAACCCAAGATACAGAATAGGAAATGATATTATTCAAAGGAGTAGTATATAATGAATTTTATACCAAATGAAAGCTCGTCAAAAATGTTGTGACGATTTCTGATGGAAGAAGTGTTAGCGCTGGTGGAATTACGCTTTATTATATTCTTCTTCTCAAGAATCGCATCGTTTACACACAAAGCATACGCTTATATACTCGTCCATAAAAGAGAAGAAGAGAATAGGAAAGGAAACGACAACAAGAATAGAAGATAAGTACAGTATGATAGGGACGAAGTATAGGACAGAAGTATAAGGACAATATATAAGATGAGAAGAAATAGCAAGAAGAGGAAAATATCATGCATACGATATATGCTACGGAGACGTTACATAGGTATCATTAGGATCAAAAAAATTGAATGACCACATTCTACTTGACTAGGAGCAAACATATGTTTTTATAGTCAACTTGATGTGCTGAATTAGAAAAGAACATTTTCACATATTTGAAAAGACACTAAAAAATAAAACTGTCGATTAATCCCTTCAAAGCAGTAAAAATGGCTGTTTTATGAAATTTTCTTTGTTCGAAAAATTTTCTCTAGGAAAAATCGTTGTCGAAATAAGAAAATTACTTTTTCCTAGATAACTCAATGCGCTCTTTCCAACTGTGCATAGATATCAAAAAAGAAAAAAAATTGTAAAAATTTTGCATTTCCGAGATCTTATATAATCACAATTGTCCGTTAAAAATGACTCATTTCTAACATTTCATTTTTTAGTGTCTAATGAATTAAAATCTATGTCTATGGGTTTAAATGATCAATTGAAAAATAGTTTGGATGGATTCAATAAGACACTGAAAGGTTTCAAAGGACAATTAGATACAAACTTCGCTTCTGTCAATAAGAATATTCGAAAGTTAGAAAAAAAGTTTAACAAACGATTTGATCAATTATCATATAAAATCGATGATATCTATGAGCGTGGTGCAATATTAGCAATAATAAATCGTCTTCGTGCTGATCATGAATTAGATATACAACATTTACCAAGTAATC